ATTTTCTGGTAAATGGTTATAGAGTATAGGTAAACAATCGACATCTGCAATAGAATGTGTAAATGTACGAATTCTTTACTTATAGCTATCTGGTATATCAAGTGGAGAAAATTTTTCATTTATAAGTGCTTTTATAGATGCTTGACTAGTTCCTATCATTACTTCTCGATATTTATCCTCTAACCAATCAAAAAAAAGTGTTGGTGTATTTACTTGATTACCTGCATTATTTTGAAATGGATTGGGTGATATGAATCTTTCAGCTAATCTAGATGATAACATTCGTGTTTTTACTGCATCATTAAACCCCGCAACACCTAATGTATTGCCATATTGAAATATCTGCATAAATTTGTTATAATATTCTATTGGAGGTTCCTGCCCAATATACATTGGAATTTGAGCAATCATCGGGGCTAATGATGATGTAACATCAGTTAAGGCGGCCATATTGTGTGGATTTACTAATGGATTATTCTGTAATGCAAAAATTTGCTGATTCAAATTATTAATTATTTGTCGGGCGATGTGTGTTTTATTTTTCCATTTCTCGTACCTTGGAACAACGCGATCATACCAAAATTGTAAGAAAACTTTATCATTATTGCATTGTCGCAACTCCTGCTCTAATCGGTATGTAGATACCTTATAAATAATCTCGAGAGCACATTTAATTTTGAACTGATCATCCCATACCAAGCTTGCATTACGCCACATATGCCCTCGCAAATTATATTTTTGTCGACAGTTATTAAGTTCCTGAGTAAGATGGTTAGCATTATTCTGTAAAGTAATGCCATCTTGGGTAAGCTGGTTAATATGGTTTTGTTGAAGTGTATCGAGTTGTCTATATCTGTTGATATCCTGTTGTAATCGTAATATTTGATTGTTTCGATCGTCTCGTTAGGCGATGACGCCATCAATATCCTGATACGCATTTTGATAATTATGACGGACAGTATTCAAAGAACCTCTAATGCCATTTATAATATTGATAGGATTATTTAATGGTGTTCCAACTCCTCTATGATGATTTTCGAGTCGATCTAAGCCTTGATTAATAAGTATAAAAAGATCTATATTTACCACATCTATATTTGCCATACTAGTATCTTGTTCTCCTAAAGATTGAGTATATGGATCTGGCGAGCTTCTTCTCGAAGAAATAATTTTGATCTTTTCATCGAGTGTATTGATATTTTTCTGAAAAATTACTAACAGCTTTTCCAGATAATCTATATATTTCTCTTAACTTTCAGAGATCTGGAGGGCCTTTTGCAATCGCTTTTTAATATCAGTAATTTGTTGTCGCAATGGGTCCAGTTCGTCATCACGAATCAATATCTCCTTCTCAAGAAATTTAATATAATCCTCTTTTAAAACTAAATCTTGTTGCAACTTCCAAAACTGATTTTTTATTGCTGATAAACTATTTTCAAATTGCTTAATCCTTGATGACATCGTTAGGATTTTCTATATTATAAATAAAATGAGTAATCCTGGTATTGTTATAGACCCTTTAGAATCTCGAAAATTTGATATATCTATCGATTTACAAAAAATCTATTATCACCCTTCTGGCTATCAAAGGACTAGTAAAAAACTTTATGATGTTTCACATAATGCCGGGTTCGATTTTACATTGGCCGAAGTTCAAGAATGGCTTGA